TTCGCAGGTAAAATGGGAAATAAAATATGAAAACCATATACATGTATAAATCTATCACCACAACTGAATAGGCAACAAAAGAAGATTGCATGGGAATGGGATAGAAGAGGCAAAAGACTAAAAAAAAAACCTGTGTAGAGAATTTGACGTTAGCTGCACTTCTTCCATTTCCATCACACCTTTGTGCCTCTATCTAAAGGTGTCAAAAAGCTCATCTCTAATTGACAAAAGCTGACCAGAATTTGAATTTGACATCAATTAAATAATTTAAGTTTCCAAAGCTCTAATTGACAGAAGCTGACATAATTTAAATTTGGCATGGTTTCACCAAAAATGGAGGTCGAATTAAACCTACAATTCCTTCACCCACTCCTCAACTGACAAGCCCAGCACCCCATACTCGCTTACCTGGAAGGATTCGAAGCCGATGACCACAGTCAACCACATCTGCTTCTCCCTATCTTCGATCGAAGCATCTACATGCAAAGAATTAATATGTGAGGGGAGAGGGAGAGGAACAGAAGGAGAGGACCAGAAGGTTCGATGGTCTTCTTTCTGGGAGGACACACGATTCAAGCCTATTTGGTAACGAGAATAGACACTTTTTATGGGAATAGCTGAGAGCTGGGCTGTTTGGGTTTTATTCGCAAACCATAAATAAACATATTATATAGGGTGTAACCTGCCGGGCGTCAAACCGGTGGGTGTCCCTATCGTTGTCCTTCTGTTAATTCGTATAGGTAAGGGACTAAAAGTGTCATAATATAAAGTAAGGAGTTAAAACTTACAAATTTATTAAAGTAAAGGGCTAAAAATAAGTATTTGCCTTTTATATCACTCTTTTAAAACTTAAAAAAAAAAAAAAAGTCCGAGTTAAATTAGGGTCCGTTTAGGGTGTCATTGTTTTATTGTTTCTAGTTTTTTTTTTCCTTGTATTTTTAAATGTCAATTTTGATCTTCAAGTTTAAAGTTTTACATAATTTTCATCCTTCTACTTTTTTATACACTTTTTTGATCCCTTAATTATGAAAAATACACTTTTTTAATCCTTTCATATCAATTAATCTATTAAATTTGTTTATACGCATTTTTCGCCTCTGAACTTTAAGTTGAGGGACAAAAAATGTGCATATATTAGAAGTTGAAAAATTAAAAATATACAAATTCAGATAAACTTAACGGACTAATTGATAAAGAGACTAAAAAAGTACATTTTTCATAATTAAGAAACTAAAAAAGTGCATAAAAAGTTGATGATAAAAATTGTGCAAAACCCTAAAGTTTAGTGACCAAAATTGGCTTTTAACCATTTCATAAATTTTGTAATTTAAAAAATTAAAAATAAAAAAAATAAATATTTGTTTAACATAAGTTTTAACATTAATAACAAAAAATATATAAATTTATTTAATAATATTAGGTAAAAAACATTCTTAAGCACCTCAACTTTTTTGACAGTAAGTGACAAACCCTTGAATTAAAAAGGTGACAAATAAGCCCTCCAACCTCACATTCGGTGCAAATCAACCCCTCCACTCATTGACTTCGTGACGCCGTTTGTTATTGGCTGCATGACATCGCACTTGCATGCCTTCACATGTTTTTTCCCTTTTTGCCTTTACTTCATTTGTTTTTAGTAATAATATGTTTTTTCAATTAATTAATTTTTTGAATTAATTAATTAATATTATATAATATACATATCTTTAGGTCATTTTTACATAAAATAATAATATATTTTTAATTTTAATTAATACTACATTTTACTTTAATAATTTTCATAAATTACTTATTAAATTTAACTAAACCACCTAATTAGTAAAGAATTTTTTTTAATATATTCCTTATTTTTCTCATTAATTTATTTATTTATTTAATTTAGTTGATCTACTTTCTTATTTGATGTGTTCAAATTTAATTATCTATTTTTCATTTTTAGAATGTCATTTAATGTGATTATTCTTATTTTACTTTTATTTTAAAAAGATAATTACAACATATATTAAATAAGCAATCTTATTTAAATGATATTTAATTAAGGATAAATATGAAATTTTATTAATAAATTATTACATCTCTATTTTATTAAACAAAAAATTAGGTCTACTAAAAATAAATGGAGGGAGTATCATAAAAGGGTTACTCTAACCTTTACTCCTAGAGTACATATTAAAGGTGTGTTAAGTACATTTTTTCATTATAAATTTACATTGGTAGAACAAATGATGACCTTCAATTTATCAACTATTTAATTAAATTCATCAATGTGACAATAATACTAAGATTAATGTTAGTTTTTACATTTTTTAATATAAATTAATGAAAAAAATGTGTCTTTTAGGGCATTAATTAAGATGTCTTGATACTTTAAATGTTAAAACTTCATATAAAATTATTTAAATATCCTTAATAAATTTTTTTTTTGTCGATTCACTAAAGGTACTTTAGTCTTATCATTTTCATGTCTAACATTTCAATTGTCCTTTAAACAATTTTAAAATGTAATTAAAATACCGAAAATGATAATAAAGTATTAAAGTGCCTTTAGGGAATCAACAAAAAAAAAAGCTTATTATTAAAGGTATTTAAATAATTTTATATGAAGTATTAACATTTAAAATGTCAAGATATTTACCAACGACCTAAATAATTTAGTGGTTATCTCCTTTTGTTAAAATTGAAAAGTCCTGAGTTCGAGTCACACGGCATGCAATAGGGTGGGATAAAGAATGAGAGATGATTGCCTCTTATTATGCAATCAAGATAAAAAAAAAAATGCAAGATATTTTGATTTTTGCTCTTAGATACTCCTTTTTGTCATTAATTTATATAGAAGAATG